TGTGTGTCTTGCATCCTCCCTCTTGTTCCCTCCACCCCTGACTAGTATTTTAGTCCCCAGATAACTCATAAGGAGTTAACTGGTAATAAGACCGGTTATAGTTCCAAATATTTTAACTACCAACACTAACCCTGTTTGAGATAATGTTATAGTTCCAAATATTTTAACTACCAACACTAACCCTGTTTGAGATAATGTGGCCACGTAAAAACTTCACTAACCTGGACAGCAAGCATCCGGGTTCTCTTCTGGTATTTTCCACTGGTCAGTTGTGTGAATAAATTGCTCCAGCTCTCTCAGCCCCAGTGTCCTTGGTAATAAAATAAGGAGTTTTAACCAGATCATCTCTAAGGTCCTTTCCAATTCAAAAGTGTATAAATATTCTCAATATTATTTTTATTGAAAGAATCACCTTACCATTGAGAATTTCAAATGTTTTCTATTATTATTATTTCAGCATATTATGAGGGTACAAATGTTTAGCTTACATATATTGCCTTCGCCCTACCTGAGTCAAATGTTTTCTTTAAAATAATACCCTCAGAATGAAGGGTAACAATATAGTGGCAATAGAAAGTTCATTAGCATAGTTTAATAGTTTTTGATCATTTTTTCATGCATTAAAATGAAACATTTGGTAAAAATTAAACATTATATGCAAATGAGTACAACAAGCCTACCTTTAGAATAATTCATTATCTCTCTTATAATATATGTGAGTGTCTTCTTTTGTTTTTTTTTCCCTTTCCAATACACTGTAGCTATTAAGTCAGCATATTGGAAGTTTACCAAGAAAGTATAACAGAGGATCCTATCTTTCATTTGCATAAATCCCAGAATTCCTCCTGTCTAAAATTATAAGCTATTAATAGGTGACAAGACTGTCACTAGATGTTCATTTATAATGTTGTCATTAGAACCTAATGAACATTTAGGACATATTTCAGAAATTGTAATTCTTTTTTTTGCCAGAAAGAGGAAAATGTGTTTGTGCTACAGCAAAAAGGTTTTATACTAGAAAGGTACAGCTAGCAGAGGTGTTGAATTTTTTTCTTGTGCAATTTCTCTTCCTTGCTTTTTCAAATATAGAATCATATAATTATGATATTAAATTGGAAGAAAACTTGAGAATCTTCTACTTTGCTGTCTTAATGTTATAGGTGAAGAAATTTAGACCCAAGAGGTCTAGCAACTTGCTCAGGCTAGCACAATTACTGGCAGTGTTGTAACTAAAATCCATGTCTCCTGACTTCTTGCTTAATGTGTTTATGCATTTTTACATGTGCCAGTATATAAGACATAAATGCAGAGGCTATGGATATGTATGTAAATGTAGCAACCATGATGTGTGTAGATTTATCATCAAGGTCAGTTCTAGAGAATCATGAAGATGGTCCAGTTTCTCATCAATATCATAGTCCAAATCTTTCTTGCCCTCTTTCTGAACAACCCACCTCGGCCAAAGGATTATCTTCCCTCCACACTGCGAGCACTACTGCCCAAACAACTTTTGGGGAAATTAGCTTGTTCAGCACTGTGACATTGTTTGCTTGACATTATAAGTCTAAGAGATTTTGTTTACTGCTATAGATTGTGTATTCCTTGCAGAGTGAGACTATATTCTTCCCAGGTTTATGTGCTTCCTGACAGCTAATCCAGAGTCAGAATGTAGAATGACTAAAATGCAAATTAATACTCAAATGCTTAAAATTAATGCTTAGAAACAAAATGACCACACCTTCTGATTTGACTAAATTTCATAGTTTGTCTGAGATTGTGCAACTAGTTGAAGATGGGGTCTTAATAAAATGTATGTGGCCTTCATATTCTAGTAATATAAAACAATTAATAGGGACCAGAGATGGATGTGTTGCACATTTGTGGCTTTAAGGTGACTAAAAGGTATGCCAGCTCTATTTCATTAAGATGAACCTCAATATCTGGTTAATAGATTATGTATGTGTTTTACTGTGACCGTGTAAATATTGATATATTGAAACAATAGGCTGGGAAATGTATGGCTTAAATTACCCAAACACATAAAAGAAGAGTTACTGGGACGCACTCACAAGTGTTGAGTCTCTAAATGGCCTAGTGTGTAGGTTCTAAGAGGGGTGAAGAATCTCTAGATCTGATACCACAGGAAGACAGGTAAACAATACCCACCACCTTTCCTACCTTGGCTAGCCCACACAGAGCCAGTGTGCTCTCCAAAGGTGTACCATACAACAGTGACAGGTTACAAGGACTGGCTTTGGAGTCAGAACCACTTGGGTTTGACTTCTCCATCTTCTCTATAAGTAGTATGACTGGACAAGTTAATTAGCTTTTCTGGACTTTATCTCATTTGTAAAATGAAGATAATTATACTTACAGCATAGGATTGTTTTTAACATTAAATTAAAGGTGAAAACTCAGTGAGGTGTTTTGGACAAGTAGCCTTCATATAGTTAGTGATCAATAAAAATATAGCTATTAATTAATAGGACTTGCATTCATAATTGTGGATATTTAACCAATATAGTAGGAAAGCAAGAACTGTTATAGCATCTAATCACACTAATTATAATTTGCCTTACACTATAACCATATTAATAGTTTATCCTCTCTGGACTATAAACTCTTTGAGGGAAAATGCACCCAAAATTACATTACAGACATGAAAACTGAAGCTCAGGGAGACGAATGCTCCAGACTCCAACTATCATTCCCCCAAAATCCTAAAATTTGAATAATTTCAACTGATATGGATAATTTTTGTTTATTTAAGACAAAAAAAAAAAAAACCCTCATTACTCTTTTGGTCATCAAATCATTGTAATTTGATAAAATTTTCTTAAACTTAGTTTCTTAATATTTACTAAGATATTCAGGGCCCTTGAATATGACCCCTGTTTATCTTTCTAGTCTCATCTTAATCATGAAGAATATATTTCAGTCCCATTGGTCTTCTCACTATTCCCTGAAGACATTCTGTTTTATTCTTTCATGCTGTCCTATGCATCTTCTCCTCTGCCTTGGAAAATCCAACTTAATATTCAAGACTCAGTGGTGAAGCTTTCTCCGGCCCCATCAGTAAAATGGGAATGAGAACCATGGCTACCACTGACTGAGCTCTTACCTGTACCAGACACCTTGTGCTAGGCAATCATGACATGTTCCGTGATTCTCTCCATCACAACAGTTGTCTTGCTGATTGTACAGCATATAAATCTCTATCTCCTCATCATCCTCCCAACTAGACATTGTGACTTGAGGGCAGAGACCATGTCCAGTCACTTTTGCAATCTTATAGCACGTCTCACTGTAGGTTCTTAATCACTGTCTGCTGAAATGCTGAACAGTAAGGTTAGATTTGTTTTTAATAAGTATTTATTGGATGAGAATCTTGTACAGAAGATTCAAATATCAGATTGGAGATTGGGCTCATGAATCCAAATTTCCTTCCAACTGTAAGATTTTATGATCCAGCTACCCATGTGTTTAAATGAAGCCCCTCATGTTAGAAGTTGGGAATAAAAATAAAAAGCAAAGTCACCGGAGATCTCATGCATGCTTGAGCGCCCAGACATCCCTATCCAACAAAAGACCAGACGTGGATTCACGTGCAGTCACACATCTGGAGCTATTCTTTCCCTCTGCCTTGGCAGAATCCCTATGGCTTTTCAGCAGACCGTGCATGAGGGTATCTATAAATAATCACCCAAATGTAATGCCACCCAGCCAGCTGGGTTAAATATAGACATTGGATTAGCTCCAGGGAGGAGGGGACAAGTGGTTCCCAACTCAAAGAAATTGTTATAAATTCCATTTGCTGCATGAATATGTACAGTGGATGTTTCCTTCCATAAGGACACCAAAATAGCAATTAACTCAAGGCTAATGTTATAGCTGCTACTGTCTCTCCTGCTTAATGTCTCCCCATCTGGATGCCAGCACAGATGCTAATGTGTCTAAATGTGTGTGTCAAATGACAGCTCTCCCCACACCTGCTCTAAGTATACCTGCCTACTGCTTACTGCCTCTACTTCCCTTTGACAGAAGAAGGTATCGCATGAGTTACACACATCTGATCTTTCAACTCTTATGTCTTGCATCTCAGTAGAATAGTAGAAAAGACTGACCTTTGACATCAGTCACAACTGGGTTGTGTTGTTACTTAACAACTTTCTAGCTGTGTGGTCTTGGACAAGTTGCTTAACTTCTCTGAGCTTCGTCAGCTTTTATATTTCTAAAATAGAGGTCATCTCATTTATCTGGTAGTGCCCTGAGAAGATTTTACAAGGTACTCTATGTAAATTTTCTGTCCCACCAGTAGACTGGGTGAAATAACTCATTTTACTCTTACCCTATAGTCCCATTTTATAGATCTCTGGAGATAAAATGGGCATTACTGATTGCTAGGCCATTGCTAGGCCATTGCTTTTTATTTAATCAATGAGGGAATTGAAGGGGTGGCATAGAGATACATAATGTGCTTCAGAGGTGTCAGATGAAATTAGAGATTGAACTGGTACCAGGTTATAAATTCTGCCGTCGGAACCAATGCTCTTCCCAACATCATTCATTCATTCATACTATGTATGCATGTTTTTAATATTTGTTGAGCACTGTCAAGTGAAGAGCTGGAAATAGACAAGCAAATGTCCCCACTGCTACCACCACCAAAGGTGCCCCCAAGTTGGCACAGCATAGCACTGTTAATATTAGTTAACATTTTTGACTTCTCTTCATACTCCTCTAAGGACCAGGAACTGTTTTAAATATTTTACTTACTTAGTTTATTTAATTCTCTCCAAACCATGTGAGTTATTGACACTATTATTCTCCTGATTTTCCTATGAGAAACTGAGGCATGGGGAGGTTAAATGATTTATACAGGTTTACACAGCTAGTGAGTGGCTGTTGCAGGATTTGACTCCATGCAGTGTTTTCCTAAGGTCATGCTGTTAACCACTAAATGATGCCATCTCTTAATGCAGAATGAAGATTATAGCATGAGGGACAATCCAGGGGACTACAGTAATTCAACACTGGGCCACCCCAGCCATCACACGGGAGTCAGGGAAGGCTTCCCAGGGGAGCTGATTTTGTGAGTGATGTTGTCCATGTGATATTTCAAATGGGATGTGTTATCATTAACTCCAGAGGTCGAAGTTTGGTAGAATTACATGGCAGCGGGCCTAAGACTCCAAGTGAATCGCTGAAATAAAAGACAAGACATTTTGGTGGCACTCCACACTTTTTAAAGTGCTTTCACATGTATTCATTTTATTTCATTTTATTTTGCCTGAGCTGCACCGCACCACCTTTGTGGTGATAGCAGGACATGTGTTAGAATTCCAGTTTTACAAGTAAGAGAACCTAAGCTCAGAGATATAGTAGTTTTGATAAAAGATGCTAAGCAGGATTGCGGAGGAACTGAGAACAAGATATGGTTCTCCTTGTTATTCAGAGTATTTTCTGTCCTTCACTGTGCTCTTTCCTCTCTTTCTTTCTGCTTGTCTAACCTAAAAATGAAGACAACCTCAATAATTCAGAAAAAGGGAGGATCGGTCTGCTCATTGGACTGTCTCCCTAAACATCAAGTTTTGTTATGATTCTTACTCTCAGACAGAAGGCAATGAAATCCTCAAATAAGAACGGGTGGTGTGGATATTCCACCATTGTTGGCTGGCGTGAGAGGCGTTTGTTACCGGGAGAGTGGGGCCATGGGGGATGATGGACTTGTATTCTTGCCCCAGGTAAAAGATTTACCAACCTAGAGTGGGTGTGAGCAAAAGGGAGGCACAGATAAGCTCATCATTTTTCAAAGAAAATGTGCTTTGGATCATACAGAGGTTCTGCTCTATGTGACAAAAAAGGTGATGACATTATCCGTTGGGAGCTTTCTCAAAGACAGGCAGAACACTCTGATCATCCGACATATAAACCTCAGTGGCCCCCAGCAGCATCTCATTTTGAGGACATCTTTCTGATTGGATAAGTTAGCAAGGAAACATGCCCTGTAATACACCAAACTCCCATATGAATGCTGGGCAGTGTGAACAGGTTTAGATGACATTATCATCCAGTGGGGCTCAGCATCTTCTGGGGAACTAAGACCTTTGAGAACATGATGGAAAACCAAGGGTTCTCTCTTCAAAAAAATGTACATAGGCACATCTATGCAAACTTTTAATACATTTTTAGGGAGTACACTGACCACTTTGAGGCCTAAACATAGACACCGTAGTGTTCCATAGATTAAAGGTGAAAGTCTCATAATTTTTTTAAATTGCTTAGTTACACTTAAGAGGCATTGGCTTATAAATTCCCATGAACATGGATTGTGTCATATTCATTATTGTGTCTCCAATGACTAGGAGCATAGTAAGTATTCAAAGTACTTTGGTTGAATAGACCTATATGAGCTATAATATAGTTGAGTGTTGTATCAGTTAGCTAGTGCTGCATAAGAACCCTCCCAAAAACATTATGGATTAAATAATAGCCATTGATTTAGCTCATGATTCTGCAGTTTAGCAATTTAGGCTGGTCTTAGCAGGGTAGTTCCTTTAGTCTCAGTTTGGTTTCCTCATATGTCTAGGGTAAGCTGTGAGTCTGCTACAAGTGCTTTGCTGATATGGGTTGGGCTTTCTAACACATTTGGGTCCTTGATTGAGACCAATGAATTGACTCATTCTGGTCCACATGGTCTGTCATCTTCCATCAGGGTGACAGAAGCTAGTTCACATAATAGGGACAATGAGAAACATATCTTCAGGCTCAGGGTAATTCAGTTTGTTTTAGATGCCAAAGACACTTTCTCTGCCTATCTTCCCCAGACTTTTTTATTTTGCCCCACAGGAAAACAAAACACTACTTAGCCTGTATTAAGTCTCCCAGATCTCATATTGTCTTCCCTTTGCCCTCAGCTAGAAAAGAGCTGAATCATTAATTCACATTAATTTACTAATGACTCAGATCCTTCAATGCTGAGGCTTGAAGTCAGGAGTAACATTATCAATGGGTGGCATGGAGGTTAGCAGTCTAGAAGAAGTTAGCAGTGGCATTGGCCACTGGAACAAGAAGGAAATTCTGAATAGCAGAGGGACAGGAGAGGAGGGTAGATCACCAGTAAACCAATGAAAGAATTTTAGGCTGTAGCTCTGACTATATGTGAAGGCAACTTCCTCTCCTCTCCACTCTCACCATCAGGATTTCCTGGTTAGAACCACTGAGGAGGAAAGCAGCTTGGAATTCCTGAAAGCCAGATAGTTGACGTCTGAAAGAATTGAGATTTGGGATATTGCAACTAAGGTGACACATGTGCACAGAAGAGAAGACACACAGAAGCCTTCTGACCATCCCTCCTCATGGCCACGCTAGCAACCCCCAGGGTCCTTGTGCTTTTCCAGCACCTGCATCTTGATTGCCTATTCAGTTAACCATGTTTCCCACAGACTGTCCTGGGGGCAGAGACCTCATCTGTACCACTGTCATTCTCATATTCCCAGCACACAGTAGGGGTCCAGTATGTCATTGTTGATCCAACTTACTAGCAACTCTCTATGAATAACATAAGAAAGTGAGAAAGGAAAAAAAAAATCGCAGGTCTAGGGTAGGACAGAGCGGTCGAGGGTAGGATGCAGTGCTCAAACTTGTGCCCCATCACTCCACCATCGTCCATAAGATCAGCCCCATCTCTAAAAGTTTGTGAATCCTCTGAGTCAACTGCAAGGCCAGGTATTTTCAGGAGTAGTCATGTTGCTTATGATGAATCTATCAAAATGCAAGCAATTTTGATGCAGGAGGAAAAACAATGATAATTGTAATAATCATTATAAAAAAGATGTGTTCTTTTCAACACTTATTAACCTGGATTTTGTTTAAGAGGTTTCCAATTAGCTTCTTGTATCTGCACAGTTAACCTTTTCTGAGCTTTTGTCTTCAGGCTCTCTCTCCCTAAGCCCTCAGCCCTCATTTCTGCCCATGGAGTCTTACAGGAATAGCTGGAATCCAACCTCCTGAACAGCTCCTGAGCATGGGATAATTGCAATATAATTAATGAATTAAAAAGAGTGAAATGTTTTAAGTGCTTTCAATATTCCCTTTCCTATAATTATCTACAAGAAACATGTTCATTAACAACCTTGTGCTGACGGCCCCCATGCTCTGGATAAGCTAGCTCAGCCTCCAGTAAGAAAATGAATTGATGACCTCTCTATACCATGCCTCCAACTTCAATGGGGAGATGAGAAGCCAAAGCCAGACCATCCTCTGAGAAACTGTTGACCAGATCAAATTCCTTCCCTCATCTTCAGTCTCAGGGCACCTTGGCTAGTCTCAAATGCAAAGGGCATTTTCTCTGCTTGTCCCCCCAGATCTGTTTTCCTCTGTCCTTCTAGAAAACATGCTCATTGACCCCTATTAAGTCATGCATGCCTCATATTGTCTTCCCATTGCCCTCTAAAGTTACAGAGGATCTGAATCACTAACTCACACAAATATTCATGACTATATCCTTTAACTCCATGCCTTGCAGTCAGGGGTAACATCATCTATGTTGGGGAGGCAGAGGGTACTCAAAGCTGTAATACATGGATGCCTGTGATTTAATTTTATTTGACCATTGGGGAAAATATTTATATTAAACTGAATAGTAATATCTTACAGGATAGAATTCAAAATGCACATGGGTTTTAAAATATAAATGATTATATTTTGGAAACATTTTGCTTTGGGGAGGCTGCCGCAGGTGAGGTCCCCAATTGTTCCAGGAGCACCTGGTTTCACTGACCACATCACTGGAGATATTTGTTAAATATGGTTTAATGAAATAGTTCTACTATGAGCACTGGTGCCAGCCCAGGGCAACAACTGAACTTATGCTGTGGGAGTTCCATCAATAGGGCAAACTAATGAGAGGGACATTTTGGGGTAGGGTCCCATCCCAGAACAGCCCAGGTTTATTAATTTATTAGATGTTTGAGTTTCCAATATTTGCAAGGTACTAAGCCAGGTCCAGCGTGGAATACATTGATGAATAACACAGGGCTTGTGCACTCAAAGGTTTTATAGAATAGTGGTGGAGATGAGATTTCTATCTATAAATAACTATAATAGAGACAGGGCTAAGAGCTGTAAGACAGGAGCTGTAAAAGCACTATGGAAGTCCAGAGGAGGTGGATATTATCTTCAGCCAAAGGGATATGAGGACGTGTCATGGAGGAGGAAGATTTTTGACTAGAACTTCAAGGATGGGTAAAGTTTAGATCAGAAAAGATGCAGGAGGTTTTTTGTTACCATGTCAGGGAACAATTCTAAGCTGAGATGCAGAGACTGAATTCAGAGAACTGTAGGCTAGCCAGGATGGGCCAAGGTTGGCTCTTTGAGGCTGAATGTGTAATTTGGGTGTGGCTACAAGGAAGTGAAGCTGGAGTTGTAGTTTAGGAAGAGTCTGCAAAGGCATTTATATGTCATACTCAAGAGGTTGAGTCAGTAGCAGATTTTCAGTGAATTAATAAAAGGAAGCTTTGTAGGAGACAGTGCAGACGGGGTGGGACATGCTTTAGGTGTGTAGGGTAAGAAGGGAGGTAGAAATTCAGGTTAGGAAGTTAGTGAAAGAGTTCTTCTAGCAGGCAATAGAAGGATTGATCAGAAAATACCAGATCAAACCCAACCATGTACACTGTACACAAAGGAGGACATCAGCATGCCATTGTACCTTGGAACACATGCAAACAAATAGAAATGGAAAAGTAGAGCAGTTGAGGTAATGATGTGGAAAAAAACACAGAATATTCTAAAATGACCTGAAAACTGTAAAAATCAAAAGAAATCCATCTCTTTATGTAATCAATCCATCTAAGTAGGAATTTTTGCGAAGGGGAAATTGGTAACCAATAACATATTTATGGGGTGTTTCTTTGGAGTACCTACAAAGTTCTGTCTGTGCATAGGCTCGGAGGCAGGGTAGCTGGGGATCCTGGTTAGATATGTTGCGTAGGCAATACATTTAGGCAGCTGTCAATGACACAAAAAGATTAGAACGAATGGGCAGTTTAAGGGTTTGTCGAGGGCAGGGCAGGCGAGGACCTGGGCACGTGGCCATCGTGTGTCGTTGTCAGGGCTCCCTGAAGCTAGTGCTGCGGAGTTCAAGGCAGGCGGAGACGGGCAGTTGAGCACACAGACAGAGGCAGCTGCCTCCCCACCCGGGACACCTGGAGGGCCAGAACCACTCTGCCAGCTTGAAGTCAGCTGGAGCCTTTTGCAATCCTCTGAGACCAGGCCAAATTGTGCCCTAAATTTTGTTGTTGTTGTTTTTAAATGGGCCTCATTCCTTTTATGTTAATATTTGTTCTTTTGTTTGAACCAAGCATCATCTTCACATCCTCAAGATGGCATGGTTTCTGAATTAAAATGAAAGTTCTAGACTTCTGATCTCACAAGGATGAGAGACTAGAGCTTCTGAAGTCAGGCCTTTGGGATTGAATTTTTTTCTTTCTTTCTCTTTTTTTATTACTGTCTTTTGCTCACTGAGTAACCTTGGGCAAATTTCTCAAAATCTGTCAAAATCTGTGAGGTTCAGTGTCCTTATCTGTGAGCTGAGATTATGATGGTATTTTCCTTGAAGGGTCATTGTGTGGATTAAGTTAGATAATGAATGTAATTAAGCAGATATCCTACTATTCATTAAATACTCAGTAAAAGTTATTTACTATTCTTCTCCAGATTATCATAGTTATACTTGGTGTGCTGTTCTCAAGTTGTTTAACCAGCTAGTCCTTAAAGGAACTACTTGTCCTTGCCTGTGAGTTATAACTCCTTGGCAGGTTAAAAAATAAAGACTAAACTCAGACTCAGTCATTGTAAGTTGTTTGTATTATGTAGGATTATTTTGTGGCATGTGACAGAATTGAAGTAGCCCAAGCAAAACAGAGAAGGTGTGGTCTTGTCTCATAGAGCATGCTTCAAGGACGACTGGAGGAGATCAAGCAGACTTTCTGGAATCTCTGTCTTGCACATCTCAGCTCTGATTTCCTCTGTTTGTATAATTATCAGGAGATGCAGGATAGCCCCCAGTGGCTTCAGGCTTATATCTTACCTGCTAAGCAGATCAAGCAGTAAGATGTGTTTCAACCGAAGTGCTGAAGTGGCTTTCATTGACCTGACATGAGTCTCCTGATCTCCCCAGTAATGCTTCATGCCTAGATGTTTGGAATAAATTACTTAGTTAGGCCTGCTTCATGTTCCCACTCTTGAAGCCAAGGACTGAAATGAGCCTCTGAACCTCATGGACTGAAGAGAAGAGAGACGTGGATTTCTAGTGTGGTGGTTCTCAAAGTGTGACCCCTAGATCAGTAATACCTGCATCCCCTGGAAAGTATACCTAGAAACACAAATTCTCAAGCCCTATCCCAGTCCTAGAAAATCAGAAACTCTGGAGGAGGGTCCAGGAATCTATTTTAACAAGCCCTCCATGTGATTCTGCTATATGCTCAAGTTTGAGAATAACTATTCTAGAAGAAGAGGCATGAACTATTTCCAGAACAAAGACAGAAGGATGCTGAACAAATGGAGACAACAGATGCCCACCACAGCTTGCACCTAATAAATCATTGTGCCCATCTTACAGATAGGGAATCTGAGGGTCTGTAAGATAATGACACTAGATCAAAGTCTCATGTCTAATTATCCCAGAGACAGGTCTTGGATTCAGATATTCTGGTTCCTCATCCAGAACTCCTTCCACCACAACAGCATAAAAGAAAATGAGAAGAAACTCCTTCCTGCAAGGCACTGCATCTGATTGTGTGGACTGTTCATTTTTAAGCAGTTTTTCCACATAAGTAACCACTACCTAAGAGTGGATTGCCCAGATACATTTCCAAGACACAAGCTCCTCTACTGCCCTAGAGGGAATAAGCCCCTGAGAAGTGACGTCCGGTAGCAGTTTCCATTTCATATCTGCTCACATTCCAGAAAGCGTCTCCATGCCCAGAGGTTCTGCATGGCCAGATGACATGATTATCTGCAGATGTTACTGACTCAAGGGACAAGTTATTCATATTTTACATTTGAAAATCATCTCCCAGCTAAGGCCAACTGAAATGACCTTTGCAGAATGAACTAGATGGAAGTCAACAAGAATTTATTGAGCAGGGAGTATGTGGCCAGGACCGTCAGTCATGGCTGAGCTTACGAGGGAGGAAGAAAGCACGGACACTTCCCCAAAGGACATTCCAAGTCAGTGAGGCAGATGAGATGAACACAACTAAAACAATTAGAGAGTTTTATGGGCATTCTCATCCTCAGCTGTGTTGCCGTGTTGCCGTGTGCCCTGCATCTGAATCCTCTTTCTATATTTGGGGAGTTTTCCACCTTATGAATCTTGATGAGAAACAGTGCACTTCCCACTCAAGAAGCTGAAGAAGCCAGATATACGCTACCCAGCTACCCAGGGAATGACGGAATGGTTGGCCAATTAGAGGTGATTGAGTGGGTCTGGTGGTATAGGGAAAAGGAAAGAAAAAAAAAAGACTGAAAAAATTTATCATGGTGGCCCAGTGACATTTGCCTGTTTTCCAGGGCACTAGTGACAAAGGAGCCAGAAGTGGCACCAGAAACCCTGTGCTAGTGTGTGGACGGTGCTAGCCACAGAGCTCAGTGTTAAAGCAATAGAGCCATCAGTATCCTCACCAGATGGCTCATGAGCTGTGGTAGGTTTGGGCTGCGTGCACCCCTTTTGTTTCCTCGGCCCTCCTAGTGATGCTGTGAACTTTATCAGTATCTTTCCAGTAGTTTTCCATGTGGCTTGAATGTAACCAGAGTCAATTTCTGTTGCTTGCCCCTGTGGGTCCTGACCGAGGAGCACGGACTGCCCCAATATGCCCTGCTCTCTTCCGTCGTGGGCTTTGTGCAGGGTGTTCCCTCCGCCTGGATGCTCTCCTCCCCTCCTCTCTCATTCCCAATGCCTAGTTAACCCCTACTCACCCTCTAATCCTTCAGGCCCCGGTTTGAACCTCATGTCCACACAGCGGCAGCCTTCCCTGAGCCTCGGGAGTGCTTCTCTTCTCATCCACCCTCGCCACCCCGCACTCTTCCTTCGAAACACCGTCCCAGGGTGTAGACACAAGCCTGTTGATTGCTGTCTCCTGGTCTTAGTTCGTTCAGGCTCCTGTAACAAAAGATCCTAGACTGGGAGATTTACAAACAATAAAAATGTATTGCTCACATTTCCGGAGGCTGGAAAGTTGAAGACCAAGGTGCCAGCAGATTTGGTGTCTGCTGGAAGGAGTGAATAAGCTCCTTTGGGCCTTTTTAATTAGGGCGCTAATCTCATTCACCAAGGCAGAGCCCTCATGATGTAATCGTATTCCAAAGGCCCCTCTTTTTAATACAACCGCACTGGGGATCAGGTTCCAACATGAGAATTTGGGGGAGGGGGGAGGGACACAAGCATCCAGACTGTAGCATTCCTCAAACTAGACTAAAGCTATGTGAGGGTAGGAATGGTGTCTTTTGCTCTCCATTGGGTTACCACTGCCTAGCGTGGTGTCAGGCACGCAGAGGCTGAGATTGTCAAATAGGATGAGTAAATGAATGCTGTTAGGATGTGTGGTGCACACCACGAATACTGGAGTCCTCTCAAGAGGCTGGGAAAGGTTTCCCAGAGCAGGTGAAGCTTGCATTGATGTATTTGTGGGATTTGAACTGGAGGAGGACAGGAGTAGAACATCCCAGATCAAAAGAGCAACATGGATGTAAGAACAGGAAGGGAGCTGTAAACATGTGCTCAGGGAACAGGGAAGTGACTTACCGGCTGGGACAAGGAGTCTGCATAGAAGAGGAAGGGTAGGTTAAATAACGTAGGTTGAAGAGAGCAGATTTGGGTTGACTTCTATTTACAGAGTCTATTAAAAGAGTATAAGAACTATCTGGTTCTTCACAGGTGCCGTATCTTGCCTGGACCTCAGCAGGAGACCAGAGTGATATGCAGTTCACTTTCCCTGGAGTGAAATGTGTGGTTAAGTCATATGTACCTTTGCTTTTGAAAATCAAACATGATCATCTGATACTATGAACCCTTTGGTGCCATCCATTGTGTGCAAGACAAAGCCTGAGACCCACAACCAGGCTTTGTGAGGTTCTGAATCGTGTGACTCTCACCTGTTTTCCCAGCCTGGCTTCCTGCCCATCTCTCCTCACCCTTACTCAAATTTCCTCAATCTCTTATACACCTCATGTCTTTGCACATGCTTTTCCCTCTGACTGTAATGCTTTTCCTTTCTCTAACCCATCTGGTGAGCTTTATTAATTGTCCATTTAAACTCAGATCATGTTATCTTTTCCAGGAAGGCCCTGTTGATACAGAGCCAAGTATTTGGGTTCTTTCATGCCTTACATACACTTCAATGATTACGTTTTTCATGTTTTTCTGCGCCCCAGGACTACCTATGTACCTAGAACATAGTAGAGACTTAATAAATGTTTAGTAAATCAAATCCACTTTAAAAACTACTGAACCTTAGGTTATTCATCTACTAAACACTTAGTGGATATCTATTAAGTTCCAGGTTAAACCTTATGTGACAGTAGTGGTGGTGCTGGTGATTGGGGTGGTGTTTGTGTAGCAGAACAACACAGGCTCGTGGAATCTCGCTGATAGAAGAATTTGTAGCACTCCTAATCCAATCACGCTCATTGTCAGACAAGGCAACCAAGGCACAGAGAAGTGAAGAGTTTGTTTAAAGCCACAGAGTGATTCGTAGCAGCGCAAATGAAGAACCCACTTCCTGTGACTCTTAGCTCCGGAATACGTCCACATCACCTTCTGCTTTTCCGCTTATTATGGTAATGATCATCCTGCCTCTTAGCCACACTGGCTAACTCTTATTTTTATAGCCCTAGCTAATGTTATGGAGGATTAATATTCATTTTTTCATGCCTTTATTATCACATTATATGGCTGCAGCTAAGTCATAGTGCATGTTTTCCCTTGTTGTTAAGGTGGGTATACAAAGAGTAACTTCCTAATATTTGAAGAGTTCATAAATCATAAATTCAGCAGATTTCCATTTCCACTCACCTCCCTTCCTGCGGTAGCAATTCTGGAGCCATTTGGTGGTGATTTGTAAATCTTTGAACCTGTAACAGGAGAATGGATAATTCTAGGAGTGCGTCTAAAAGAAATAGTTTGCATCGTTGGGAACAATGAACCATTCTGTAATTGAATAGAAGACCTGAGACAGCATGAATGAGATCATGTCTATAAAACGGTCTGAGCCCCTCAGAGGCAACACTCCATAAATACGAGGTATTGTTGCTCCAGCATTTGTAACACCACATAATATGAGCACTGCTCATTGCGAGAGGAAAATGGTCTACATGGGGCTTCATAAATAACAGTGTGTGCCTGCTTACTCCTCCTCTCATTGCTCCCAGCTACACGCTGGTCTCTGAGCCAGTCTCTTACCCTGTTTTCCATCTTGCCACTTAAGATAGGCCTGGCAATTCTGAGAACTCAGCAAAGCATGCCATTCCTTCGGTTATTCATCAGACTTTTATTGAACACCTACTAGGAGCCAGTGGTATGCTGGGTCCATGATGGGTTGATGAGTTCTCTGTCCTCAAAGTCTTATCCCCAACCCACTCTCTGGCCCCAAGATGCTCTGGCCTCAAGAAGTCTTCTGCCCCACACGAAATGATTCCCTTGTGCTGTGAACACTTAGAGCTCATGTTGGCGCATACATCTTGCAGGTCATTTTATAAGATCCTCAAGGGTCTGAGCCATTTCCTGTTTCTATCCCACCACAAAATGCCTTTGTGAGAAACTGCTGTGATTTAGGATAAAGTGTGACTCTCCTTTCAACCATTCATTAAACACATATTTACCAAGTGCCTGTGATTAATGAGCAGGTGCTAAGGATATAGGCATGCATGAAGAAGATAAGCTTTCTACCCTTAAAAAGACAGATACGAAAGATATAATTAAGTAAGGATGTGCCATAGTGACAGGTAACATAAGTTTTGTGAATAAAAATAAACTGAGATGAGGAGCTTGCAAATGACTGCAGGCCATTTTAGACAGGTGGGTGACCTCTGGGTAAGACCTGCGTGAAATAAGGAACTGAGCCCTGTGGATGATCGGGACACAAGTACCATAGGCAGAAAGAAAGTAAACGTGAAGGTCCTGAGCTTTTGACGTTCCTGGAGCCTCCTAGGATCAGGGCAGAGGCCAGTCTGTCTGGAGTCCACTGAGTAGGGAATAGAGCAGTAGGAAAGGAGGTGAGATGGGTAGGCAGTGCCTAACTTATGCAGAGATTTGCTGGCCAAGGTAGGGAATGGTGGGTGCCCTGTGGATGAAATGACTAATACCTCTGGACTACTGCAGTGGTTTCTCACTGTTCTTCCTGCCACCAGTGTCTCTTTCCAATTGTCCCTGAGTATCTGACTTATGAATCACCATCCAGTCTTGGGTCAGATCATATCATATCCATCCTCAAAAATTCACAAAGTCTGCCTTACATTTGAAAACCTAAATTCAAATTACTCTTTATGGCATTGAAACACCCTATAAGTAGATGTGAGTCTACACTGGCCAGGGCTACTCCCCTTCAATCCATCTACTATCCCTCCACTCCACTTGCATCAGACTCAATGGCAGAGCTTGAAAATGCTCAGCCCTTTCTCAGCATCGTTCATATCATTCTCTCCATCTTCTCTCTCTTCCTCTTTGCTCATCCTTCAGAAATTGGCTCAAATATCATGCCCCCTTCAAACCTACAGTTGCCATCCAGCTCTCTTCCTTGTGTGTTTCAATACTGAGTTTCCCTTTATGCTGTGTTTAATTCTGCCTCAATTAACATAAGTTGTGAATGTGTCAGTTTGCAGCAAGAGCATCTAGTTTTTGAGAACAGGAATTCTGATCTTAGTTATTCACAAATCCCAAACACTTTCTGCAATGCATGGCACAGGACCAGCCCTAGGGAAAGGTTTGATAAGTGACTGGTTATCTTCATGTAAGCCAACAACCACAGGAAATAACATTTGTTGAGGACTCACTGTGAGCTTAGTTCTGGGGTAGGAACCTTACATAGATTGTATCATTTAATCTTCACATCAACCCAGGAGATGTGGCTGTCACGAATTCAATTTACAAAGGAAGGAACAGAAACTCAGAATGTTAAGGACCTTAACCCTGTGCAGTCTGATACTGAAGCCTATGTTTTTAATCATTACATTAGGCAAAAGCTCTAAGATCATTAATTCCATTTCCTTGGAGGTCAGAACCAATTCACAGCAAGATGGAGAGATTCCAGTTGGCTGTGAAGAGGGACTTCCTGGAAACGAAGGTTCTTCATCTCAGGAATGGATTGTCAAGGACCTTGGTGGGTGAAGGGAAGATTGCCATGGCTTTCCTAGGAGGTGGCTAGGGTTTCTCACTCTCCAGGGGGCCCTCTGAAATCTCTTGTTTCCTGAACTTACTATTGACTGAGTTATTAAATAACTAAATAAGTCAAGAAACTTTTGTCAGGCATTATGAAATTTCTGGTCTTGTGTGCTGTAAAAATTTGGAGGAGATGGACCATTTATATGTCTGTAGCAGCCTGAGAAGGCTTCACTGAGGAGGTGACATTTGAGAAGAGTCTGTAAAGTCTAGGTTGTATGAGAGCAGGGTCTTTATTTAACTTTGTATTACTGAGTCCAGGACAGTGTTGGCACATGTGGGCGCTTTCTAAATATTAGTCCGATGGATGAATGAATACAATTGCAATGGCCAGGTGGCAAATGCATGTGATAGGTAGGAGTAGAGTTGTGTTTTTTTGTTTGTTTGTTTTTGCAACACAGCCACACATGTGAAAGTCCAAGGAGCACCACTCAGCTCCAGGAGTCACTGCTGCTCTCTGAGCCTCAGTTTCCTCATCAGGAAACTATTGAGGCTGATCTGGACAGTCCCAGGGGCCTCCTCCTCCCACTGTTCTGCGCTATATCCTGCACTGCTTTTAGTCAACAGTAGTCATCACCATGACTAATATGTTCCAGGGCCTGCAGCATGGAGTGGGCTTCTCTGTGTGCTCCTTCTGCTATCAGAGCAGAACACACCCTTCAGCTCTCAGAGGTGGGCCCCTACAAGGGCACCTGCCCACACCAGTCATGATGGTCCAGCCCCCGGAGACTAGGGCTCATGAATTTCATGGCGACAGCACCTTGGAACATGAATCCTGGGCCTGATCCAGGTTCCAGGTGGGAGGGTGTTGTCACTCAGAAGTCAATTGCATTCAGTCAATGGAAAATTCCACTCCACCAGAAAGCTGATGCCACCAGGATCCAGAACAAGGCTGAAAACCTCGGAGCAGAACTCATAAAAGGAGGTTCTCCAAAGTTCTACAGGTGCAAGGCTGAGAAATGTTTTACTATATGGCCTCAGAAAAATTACTCTCCTTCCGTGGGTGGTCCTTTCTCCTCCTCTCTCAGGAAAGATGCTAGGAAGTTTAAAAGGATTTGAGATCCTCCCAGGCATAGTGGAGTGAGTTATGTCATCAATATACCCTGCACCTCTTAGACTGAGCTGTGTCCCCAAAACTGCTATGTGACAAGGGACACTTGTTGTCTCTTCTAAGCTCTGTTTCCTTCCCTAAAATGGGCATAAAGTCCCCTACCTCCCAAGGCTGTTTTAAGAAATAATAAATTAATGCTTGAGAAATAAAATATGAAAAGGACAGCAGAGTGGCCTAGAGGAAATAGTGGAGACTGGAGATTCTCTCAGACCTTGGTTCTGATACTTGCGGTGTTGCCTCTAAGCTGTGTAACTTTGAACAAATTACTTTACCTCTTAATCATTAATTTTCTGATCTGATAAGTGGGAACACCTTGAAAGATTATTGCCTGGATGAAATGAAATGCTCTGCAATAAGTGTCTTACATATTCCATGCAGCAAATGTTATTTCCTGTCTCCCTCTCTCTCCTTACAAACATGAAGTTATAAGTGTAACTGTAAGATGTATTGTGCAATGTAAAGTGTTTCGACTGCTAAAAGGCTGAGTGTGTTCTGACCTTACTGGGAGTTTTAGGGTAAGTAAG